CGCGCGGGGCCTGGGGGAGGCCGGAGCGGGGCCTGGTTCTGGTTCTGCCGCTCCCACCCGGGGCTGCTGGAAGCGTGAGCGGCTGTTGGGGAGGTGCCCCGAGGCTCGGTGCTGCGTCTGGAGCTGCCTGTAAAAAAATCCCCGCGTCCTGCAGAGCGGATGGCGAGGTCTGTGCAGCCCCGGCCCGGTGTCAGGCCCTTGCTGGGGGAAGGGTTGTGCATTGATCCACGGAACGTGAGGCCCGGGGGCCTGACAGGCCTTGCACCGCCCCGGGGAGCCCACGGGAGGATGAGGATCCTCTGCTTCATCGTCCCGCGTGTGCACGGTGCGGGTTCCCCGCGCCTTGGGAGCGGTAACGCCGTGTGGAGGTGACTTTCTGGCTCCCAACTTCCAGTTGTCCCCAAACTCTCAATGAAGGTGTTTGTTTTTTTTTCACTTGGGTGGAGAAATAAATAAACTAGTAATTCCCAAATAACAAAAACCCAGAAGAAAATTCACTGCCTTTGGGATGAGAATAAATGTAACAAGACTTAGTGCTGAACAGGCTTTTTTTTTCCCCCCCCATAAATTAAAAACGCTGTAACAGTGCAGCTGACATGCACTATAACCTACCCCTTTCTTGTCTCTTGTTGGGTCGTTGGTTCAGTTTAATGCTTTTGGAAGCACCTGCAACAAACTAGCAGCAGAGCCACCCCGTAGAAAGAATTATTCCCATCACCCCATGAGAAGCAGTGGGAATACGTGTGAAAGGTCATTTTTTTTTTCTTTCCCTTCCTTGTGCTGGGAATGGGATATTTGAGGTATGAGTGGGAACACTAAGGCAGCTGGGAAGCTGACCCCCCTGACAAAATATTAATACCTTTCTCCCGATTTCAAGTATTGGGAGTATTAAACAATGAAAATTTTTTTTTCTTTCCCTTCCTTGTGCTGGGAATGGGATATTTGAGGTATGAGTGGGAACACTAAGGCAGCAAGGAACTGACAGGCTTCTCGTAGGGTTTGCTTGGTGTAATCTTCAGTGTTTTGGGTTCTGACTTGAGCAATACTGGTGGACCAGCTGTAGTCAGTTCTGTTGCCAATCCTGTGGCTGCAGAAACGTGATTGCTGATGTTGGGAAAACACAGTTGGTAAGAGGAGTGGGAATGTATATCTTGGGAGCCACATGACTTTAAATGGGTGTAAGCTGATAATGAAACTGCACCCTGGAGTCTAATGCAATTTTTGTTACATCAGTCCTTTCTCCAGACAGTGGCAGTAGGAATGAAAATATTAATGTCAAGTTGAAATGCTGTTTACAAGGTGGGGTTTTTGGTTTTGATGGGGTTTTTCCCTACTCAGCAGAGTCTGCAACTGCTAGGTTTTCTGAGCCTAGCTTAACTTTATTTCTCTTCTTCTTTTGATGCGTTGAAGGTTGGAGTAAGAGGGAAGGATATTGTTGTTCTGGGAGTGGAAAAGAAGTCTGTGGCAAAACTTCAGGATGAAAGGACTGTACGGAAGATCTGTGCTCTCGATGACAATGTCTGCATGGCTTTTGCAGGTGTGTGATCCCTTCAGGGGTTTCAGTGGTTATTGGAGCACCTTTGGGTAGGTTTATGGATTCTGAGATCTAAAACACTTAGCATAACTGGCTGAGGGATGTGGGGAAGGAATATGTTTCCACAGTTGCTTAGTCCTTCTAAACAAAGACTACCCTCCTGTATGGATAAATGGAGAGAGAGAGACAGTGATCTGAAGAGAGGAAATACATGTTAAAGTTACTGAAGGCCTGTAGGTTAATGTGATGGGGATAACAGAGAACTGTTGTGTCATTGGTACAGATATATATATATATTAAAAAATATGTTCTTATATAAATAAGTTTAACTTTGGATATATTTACTTAATATATCTTCTGTATTTAATATTAAGTATGTAAAATTGTATAGATATTATATATAATATGTGTTATTAATACATATTACAGGAGCTATAAGATACATTTGCCAGTTACAGAGACCTTTTCCCACATGCATCAAGCCAAAAAAGTTAAATTCTGCAGTCTCACATAAACCAAAGAACACTCTCCATTCAAGTTCAGAAGACTCCTTCTGAATGAACAGCTCCAGATTGGAAGCATAAATATTCTAGTTCCACATTCTTCTGTTCCAAATACCTTAATTTTTCATTGCCGAAAGCTTAAACAGGCGACAGTTAAAAACAATGTAAGTGGAGAAGGTGGGTTTCAGAGGGTTTCTGCTCCTTCACGTAGTTGAGAATCTTTGTGTCAGTGTTAGTAATGCCTATGGGGGAGGTCTGATTTAACCAGAAAAAATAAGAATGTTTTTTAAAGTCAGTGTACAGGAGAGGTGGCTCAGCTGCTTCTGCTGCCTTGTTTCCTTAGGACTGTGGTACATGCAGGTGTGTTCACAAATGTGAAGAATAATATCTGTAATAGAAACAAGGCTGTCAATTGAAAGTGGCACCATTAGCTAAAAAGGAAAATAAGCAATACATTTCTTCTTAGGTTTTGTTTGGGTTTTTTTCAAAGAGTCATGGTCATTTCTGTCAACTGACATCATGCTGCTCTGCTCGTCTGAACTAGGCAAGATTTTCTGTGCAGATAAAGTTGGGTTCTAGTTTTGGGGACTGCGTGAGAAATAAATCCAACAGATGTGAGAACTGAGATTGCTCTGTTATTTGCTGTTGGATGGAATGCTGTCAGCTCATCCAGTCACCTGGTTCAAAGTTGCACATGTTTGGTATCTAACTCACAAACGTCAAAGCTGTAAACTAAACCATCTGATTTTGGTAGATTAGCTTCTTTCTGTTGCCTTAAAAATGCTGTTCCTGCTCAGCAGACCTGGGAAAGTGTGATCTGTCCTTTTGCTCTGTTCATTGCTGTTGACCCTGTGAGCCTTTTAGGGCAAGACTGGTGGTTGGATTTGTGCCCAAGGGCCTGAGGCCTGACTGTGAGAACACCCTGTTGTTGCAGGGCTGACAGCTGATGCCAGAATAGTTATAAACAGAGCTCGTGTGGAGTGTCAGAGCCACAGGCTCACGGTGGAGGACCCTGTCACCGTGGAGTACATCACACGTTACATTGCCAGTCTGAAGCAGGTATGTTGGACCCACAGAGATGCTTAGAACTGTGCCCTGTTGAGCAGCACTGGAGCTTGAGCATCTGAAATGTCTGCCCTGGCCTTGTTCTACTCACCTGGTAAAAATCAGCATAAACAAAAAACATTGTGGGTGTTTATTGGAAATAGGGACATGCAAATAGAGAAGGAGGACTGATTACTAAAGATGAAGAAACTAATTAGTACTTTTAAGGGCTGCATTATCACACATGTGATATCATCAGGAGCACTCTGCTCATCTACAGCTCTAACCTGCTCTGCTAACAATGGTACTGTGTTATTTTCAAAATATTTTCCTGGCTCCTGTTCCTTTTTTCCTCCTACTAAACCATTGCAGGGATGGGTGAGAGGGGAGCAAATCAGTGCTTAATATATTTTACATATTATATTTGTGGCTTTAAAATTAACTACAGTATCTAAATATGCCCAACTGCATACTGTGGTAAAAGTATTAATTTGCCAGTGTATCGAACTAATTTTTCAGTAACTAGTAGGGATCAGATCATGCCAGCAGGAGGGCTTCAACACGGGTTTTGCTGTAGCCAGCTGATCACCACAAAGGGTGCTGTGCTTCCTGATGGAATTGTTGCAGAACCTTGGTGAAAACTGACCTTGTGTCCAGCTGTCATCCTCCCCTTTGGGAGGATTCCTAAGCGTGCTTGCCCAATCAGTGTGCAGTCAGGCTTGCAGACATGGCTCTGCCTCTGCAGGTTCCTCCCCAGAGCTGTAACCACCCCAGGTGTTGAGAGCAGGGGTTGAACAATAACCACCTCTTACCTGCCTTGCTGAGGGTCTCTGTAAGTCACAGAGTCCTAAGTTCTTCTGGTAGATTGCTAAGAGAATCCACTAAAAATGTTTCTGGTGCCTCTTCTGGTTGTGACTTCTGCAGTGTCTGCTTTCCACTCTAAACATGTTTTTAGAACTGCTTCTCTAATTAGTGTCTCCTCTTTCTGATCAGAGATACACACAAAGCAACGGGCGCAGACCTTTTGGTATCTCTGCTCTTATTGTGGGATTTGACTTTGATGGAACCCCCCGGCTGTACCAGACTGATCCCTCTGGTACATACCATGCTTGGAAGGTGAGTTGAGTCTGCCTCTTGTGGAAATGAGATTAAACATTTGGGAGTTCATGTCTTCTTTAAAGAGAGACTAGTGTAGAAAGGAGATCTCCCTGGCCAGAAGGTGCTGCCTGACAGCTGCAAAAATCTTTAGTGATCACATTTACTGAGAATGGCAGCTTGCAGTTCTGTTTATTTGGGAAACCTTGTCCTGTTTCCCAAAAAAAGCAACCCCACCAAACCCACCTGTGCCTCACAACTGTCTTTGTTTCACATATGGGAAGTAACATGATCCATGTCCTGAAAAATACATGGTGATCACAAAATGGTTTCACATTATGTAATTGCACAACTCTTATTTCTTGCTTATTCTGCAAATGAAGCCTTTTTAAAACTTCTGTTCATTATCTTTCTTGCCCTCGATGTTCCCAGGCTAATGCCATTGGCAGAGGAGCCAAATCTGTGCGTGAATTCCTGGAGAAAAACTATACTGATGAAGCCATTGAAACAGATGATCTAACTATTAAACTTGTCATCAAGGCTCTTCTTGAGGTGAGTCTGTTTCACATCCTTTGTGTGAATTTTCACTGTCTCTGGATTAACTTTGTAAATGTGATGACATGAAAATCTTCATGCATGTCAAGGGAAGTGCTGTGAAAGGATCTTTGTGGGCCAGAGGTGTGGGATTAAATTCAAGGTCTCAGGTGACAATTTCCATGGCTTGCACAGAAGAATTTCCTAGCAGTTCTCTGGGGAGGGAAACAGGCTTCAGTTCTGGGCATTAAAACCAACTGCAGAATATTTTACTTTGGTATTGAAGTTTAAGACACAGAAAATATCCCAGGTCAGATGGTGGAAATGAGGTGTTCTTTACCAGTCACAGTGCAGTGATGCCAGAACGAAGACTTGTTTTTTGAGAGTTGCACTGCTAGAGCTTAGAGCAAATGAGCAAAACACTCCCCATCTACTCCTGTTCTACTTCTAAGAAGACCTGAAAGGCTTAGAATTCATTAAGTACCTGCTCCTAACACCTGCACTCTGGTTCAGGTTGTGCAGTCTGGTGGGAAGAACATCGAGCTGGCAGTGATGAGGCGAGAGCAACCACTGAAGGTAAGGGCTTTGTTTGGCTTTGGGGGTGTCTCCTTTGTAGCCTGTTTCTCTGATACTGTCCTTGTTGATCTGCATTAATTTCAGCCCTTAATCTCAAATTCTGCCCTGGCAAATACTTCTGTGTATTATTAGTGGCCCAGGAATGTTGTTGTATCTGCAAAAGGTACCATGTCTGGATAAATACCAGTTACTTTGTCTGTGTCAGAACTAAATCACTTCAATAAAAGCCTCTAAGTTATTAGCATCTTAAGGGTCACTTGTGTTTTCTGTTTTAGATCCTAAACCCTGAAGAAATTGAGAAGTATGTTGCTGAAATTGAAAAAGAAAAGGAAGAAAATGAAAAGAAAAAACAAAAGAAAACATCATGATGAATGAAACTCAATTGCTTAGCTGCTTTTTAAATCAAGTGATGGGTTATTCTGTATAGACCTGTAGGCATTCCACTTACTCATACTGTGCCCCTCTTGAGACATACAATAAACCTACCAATTTTTTTTAAAGTTGTTATTTAAAAAAAACAACAACTGTCTATTCCTTGGATTTTTAATTACCTGGGATTAGTTGGTTACAAAACAGCAGTAGTGACCAATTAAAGGACAAAGAGTTGGCATTTTTTTTTCAGACACTTCAGTTTGTTTAATGATTCATTTTCACACTGTCTCAGTTGTTAGCCCCCTGCCCCCTTTTTTAAAGTAGCTGTCTCAAGAGTTGTGTTATGGCCTCTAGAATGTAACACAAAATTATGCTTTTTCTTCCCTAACTGGCATCTTCACCTTTAAAGGGCTAGAGTCTGGACACAAGCCTTGCAGCAGTCTGAAAAGCAGGGCCTGGTTTTCCCTCTGAAGGACAGTAGAGGGAGGGGGGTGATGTTTTAGGAGGTCAGCATGAGAACCAACATGTCATCACAGCAAGGGTGCATGACATGGTGCTTACATACACCTTGCATGATTCATCTGGTTCAGAATAAAGTTGCTGTTGTGATTGCCCACTGGGGATTTACAGAGCAGTTGCTTCCTAATGCTAAAAATAACTAGAAAGAATGTTACATACACCAGAGTTACACTCTAGTCTCTCCTTTTGTTTTTACTGGGAATAGGGAGTTTTATTTCAGGTAGGTATTTGGGTTGTAGCATCTCCACTATCCAATTCTGGCCCTTGAAAAGCTCCTCCTAGCTGATTTTGAGGCTGACCAGGACAGGCCTCAGGTGACCAGAGCCTGTGCTCAAGGGCCTCTACCCCTCCTGAGCTCACTCACAAGTCTTAGCACCTGCCTGCAAGAGCAAGACGTGCCACTTCATTCTGAAATGTTCTGTATTTGTACCCAACACTAGGCTGGAATTGGAACAGCCCTTGAAAGCAGCTCTTCAGTCTGCTGTTGTCAACCAAGACATGGTTTTACAGGCACAAAGCAAGACACAGCACGGACTGTCCCAGTTCCTAGCAGAAGGGAGCTCAGCTACAGGAGCCTCTGCCCCAAGGACACCCCTGAGGGGGTCCCAAGGCCACTCAGCCCTTGCCAGTCTGTTCCAGGCAGCAGGTACAAACCTGCTGTCCCTCTGTGCTCCCTGGCTGCTCACACCACAACCGAGCTGTTTACAGCCAAAAGCTGCAAAGCAAAGTGTGGGCAGAGCATCCCACAGGGCTCAAGGCCAGAGGAGCTGCTGTGCTCCTCCTCAGGAAAGCACTGGATCACAGCAGCTGGAGAAAGCAAGTCCCTGGAACACTGTTGTTTTGTTTAACAAGTCCTTGGACTGAACTGATGGGTTAAAGGAGCAGTGTTTGGTCTCCTGCACAAGTCACCAGCATAGTTTTCTCACACTGGGAATCTTTCATCCCTGGTGAAAGAAGGGCTCACAGTTAACTAGCCTAGGGGCTGAGCCACAGCCACTGCTCCCATACACCAGAACAAACCCAGTCCAGCAGTCAACTGGGAAGGCTGGGACACCTCCACAGCATGGTAACTTCAGCAGTGTCAGTAACTATGGTTGTGGCTCAAGTGTGAGATCTAAGGCTTTACGGTAGAAACAAGGAGAAATATTGCCTTACAAATAAAAAGGCATTATTACACAGAAATTAATCATGATTTCTCATGTTGCCACCGCTGCCTCAGATGAGTCAGTTGACTCCAGCAGTGCAGTCCCATCTTCACACTCACTGTCACCCTGGCTGTTTTGCCAGCAGAGATAAAAAAAAAAAGAGGCTCATAGCAGCTTCCATAGAAGCAGTTCCAACACCCCCCTCTCATTCTGCTGGTAGGAGTCCAGAATCTGGCAGCATTTGTGGCTACTGAACCAGCAGTTCTGCCACCCAAAACGATCTCTCCCCAACCCCCCCCCAGCCCAGGGACTGGGGTCACAGATGTGACCTCAGGGCAGTTTGGCTAATAGTAACACCAGCTCCCCAAGTGTGACAGGACACAGAAACAGGACAACAGGAACAAGGGCATCACTGTCTGGGTAGGGTCTTCAAGCCCACTTCAAATAATACTTTCCAGGGCAGTTTTATCTGGCTTAGACTGAAGCCCTGCTAAGACAGGCATCTGGGGAGGTGTATGGACTGATGTTACTAACCCATGTACCAAACAAAGCAGGAGGGAAACATTAAACATGTACATGTTTATTATAATTACAATTTACATTACTCCAAAGAGCAGCCCCACTGCTATATTCTAATTCTTAGCAATAAAGTCCTACAAAAATAAATCCAAGCTTTTACAGTAACCTAGGTCAATGCATAACTAAAAAATTCTAGCTACATAAGGGGTTCAGTCATCAAGGTGCTTTTCCAACAAAATTCCCTACCAAACAAAAAAGGGACACATGCCTATAGCAATTTAACCCACTTAATTCATGCAAACAAATGGAACCCCCCCTCCCAGCCCCTCTCCCCACATACAGAATTTTAAAAACAAAAGAAAAAACAACTGAACTATTTACAGTATGGGGGGGTATAGAGGAAACAAATTAAACATGCCCATCTGTTAAGCTTCATTACATGGACTCCCATCCCTAGTTTAATGAAAACATTCCATAGTGTTCCACCACAGTCTACTAGTGTACAGAGAACTGTTTGTGTTTGGTACTACCTGTGAGCAAGGTACAAACTAAGACATGAAGCCAGAGCTTCAATCTCCTTCCCAGACAGTCAATTACTGCCAAAAACACTTCACTCCAAGCACAGGAGCAGAGACTCTTGCTGCTCCTGTCCCACCAAGGGCACAGCACACTGTGCCCCCACTGCCCTGATCCAGTAGGGAGCTCCAAGCCCCTGAGGAGCACCCAGCACCCTTCAGCTTGACAGAGTTGTGGTTCTGTGTAAGCCTGTCATACCTCCACACAAGTACCAGCCAACAAACAGTTGTACAGTCATTTACACTACTACATGATCAACAATCCAGTATTCCCAAGTGACAATATACATAACTCCTCAGCACCAGGAATCCATTCTTCCAGATACCAAGTGCAACTTCACACCTGCTGCCAAGAACTGTGAGACCAGCAGCACCAAAGAATCCATTTGGTTACTCAGAACAAATTATAGCTGGTTTATTTCAAGTGAGCTTTGGTTCCATGTTAAAATAGCGTGATTCATCTTCTTCAGGGCTCAGAAAAGGAGTCTGACTTCAAGCTTAGACTATAGCAGCCTTTGAGAAACCCAGAAAGAAGAACCATGTAAGTTAGTCTGCACTTAAAAAAACAACACAAACAAAAAAAGACACCCTGAAGAAGGTACCCCTGAACACAATCCCTCTTCCAAAGAATATTCCAGCTGACAGCTGCTGGTCCAAAATAAGTCCAGAATTTAAGCAGTAGTACATGAAGTTCTGTCACTTGAGCTGAGACAGTAAACAATATGAACCATTTTCCCACATTAGTGCAGCAGTTGGTTGTTTTCTTTCTATGTACACTTTCATCCTCTCAGGAGAGATGTTAGAACCTATTCAGAAAAAGAGGGAGAATTAGACCTGATATGATGGAGATCTTATTCCATGGAAAAGAAAAGCAGCAAAGTTCACACCCATGTATCAACTGAAATGCTCAGAGCCTCAGCCCAAACAAGCAGATCTTGCCTTCTGAGACAGCCCAAGAAATCAGCAGAACAACCAACATGTTAAAGACCATGTTAAAACCACTTCTATTTCCTTCTACCACAAATACAGTATGGAACAATTCTTGACATATCCACAAGACCTCAGAGCAAAAGAGGTTGCACTGACAGTTCAGGCAAGGAATGAGACAACCCTGGCTCAGAGACATATTTACTCTTGCTAAAACACTTGCCTTTGAAATTACACTCTGCCAGTACCAGCTCTGTGAGTGGTTTGGTTTCTCCTTGCTGCTCCACTGCCCCTTCCACCACGAAACCCACCACGAAAGCTGCGGCCACGCAGGAACCGTCCGGACACTCCAAAGGTCTCTGTATTGAGCTTCCTCTCCTCAGCCCACGTGGTGCGCCTGGAACTGAACAGGGCAGCATTCACATGTCATACCAACATGAAAGAGTCACCAAATCCTTCAGCTAAGAAGCTCCAAGCACCTGACAGTGTGGAACTAAACTGCAGAAAGAACCAGCTGCAGGGCACGCATGCTCCCTAACTCAGTGCCTCTGCTGAGCATGGATTTCAAAGTAACAGTGTTGACTCCTGCAAGCTGCTTTCAGACTGGAAAACTAGAGCAGGGCCTAGAGGAGAACATGGTCTTACTAGCATGTCAAACCCTGCCTTGTTTTCTTGAAAACTACAAACTCTTGACTTCAGTGAAGCCCTGTCACAACCAGGGTTCAGCAGACTGCAGCTCTAAGAGCACCAGTGTGTCCCTTCCTCAGCACGTCCTGCCCAGCCCCAAGCACTGTGCAGCAAACTTTGCTGAGGGGGAGCAGAAACATTACCAAGGGAATCAGACACACTGACACTAAAGGGATGTCTGACTTCACCAGGGAGCTGGTAACAGTGAGAGATGAAGCTTTCAATATTCCCAACATTTAATTGAATGCACTTCCACAGACAGACCTGGCCTCCTCTGCCCAAACCCCAGGCTTAGCTTGCTCCTGACTGCAAGTTGTAGCATCCTCAGCACAGCATGACCCTGATGCCTCCTCCCACAGACAAGATAAGAAATTTGTTTAAAATCAATGGATTCAAAGTCAGTACTGGGAAATAGAACTGGAAATTCCTTTATTTTAGTTTAGGTAAGGTTATCAGTTGAAACCCTCGCTTTTTGTTTCATCCCACTGCATGAAGCTTGGCTAGTATCACTTCTGAGCTATCTAATGCATGGCAATACTCCCTTCCACAGAATGTTTTGCTAACATTTTTGCATTCTAAGATTTTTAAGGAATTAAACCATGTGACATAGATTATGTCTACAACTCAATGCCTAAAATCGTATTTTTTAAAGAAACAAGCTTTAAGAAACTACTCACCTAGATTTCAGTTCTGAAGAAATGTTGTCAAAGAAAGACTTGGATTTATCATAATAGCAGTTGGGTCCCAGAAGATCCTCCTCTGTATTCCCATCGTTGTTTTGAGTTGCCACTCCAGGGTCCCCTTTTTCTTCCCCTGTCTCTGCTTTGTCATCTGAAGATAATAAAATGTATTACACTTCTTGATGCATACTGAAGAGCCATCTGTTCTCTTGCTCCCTCAAACAAGATTTAAGATGCTGCCACATATAATCATGCAGTTTCTCAGAATAGGATTGTCTATGCAGTGTTTATTACTATGTCAGCAATTCACATTTAATGAAGTCACAAACCTTTAAAGTTTAGTTTCTTCTTGAATTCTTTATCAAGTTCCTCTCTGTTGAATTGTGCATTTGCACTTTCAAAGTCAAAGTCACCTTCAAACTTTATTGTATTTTCCTTCACAGTAGTTGGTCTGTTTTGTCCTCTAGAACGGTTTCTGGTTCTCCTGTTTCCTGAAAGCAGCAGAGTTTAAACACTTGGTAACATACAGGGAAGTTAAATTACTTGCTCAAGACCAGAGGAAACCAGGATTAGAACTTGGGAGTTTCTGCCTTCCAGTTCTGTGGTTAGGTCACACCTCTTTGAAAGCAACTTCTAAACTTGGCTGTAGACCTATCACGGCAATACTTTAACTTTCTGAAAAGTTGCTGCCAACTCATAGCATCAGTTTTTATAGTGTACCTTCAGGTTTCCAGAAAAGACATCAGAACTCTGTCCCTGGAATGTTCTGAGCTTCTGTGATTCCACAGCCTATTTTGTTAGAGAAGCATCTCTGGATTCTCAAACATTTGTCATGCTTTACTTTGCTCCCAATCTTCTGTTCAACAATACTTCACTGAAATCAACAATATTTACCTTGATAGACTGAAGTGACTGTTTAGTGTCAGGTTAACCTACCCGATCTTCTCCTTTGAGGTCTTCTGTTTTCATCATTCACTTGTCCTTGGGTTGTCACAGGTGCTGCCTGAACTGTATCTACTGAACAAGAAGGATAAACTTAATGTCAGAAAACAAGGGCAAAATTGAAGCAGTTTAGTCTTGCTATGCACCTTTGAAAGATGCTTCAAAGCAGCATTTTGAAGATGAAGTGGTGCATACATACCACTTGTCTTACTGTTGACCTGTGGAACCTGCCGTCCGTTGCGCTGAACCCCTGGAGTTACCTTCACTGGGGGTGGCTTTTGGGAATTCATGTTGTCAACTGGGCCAGTCTGAACAGCCTGCTCTACCATGGGGCTTTTGCGGACTGGATGAACAGAAGGAAAGCCAGCACCTGGAAAAAATCCCAATGACCAAGTACCTCTCAGAAAAAGTGCCAACACTACTCAAACCCTACCCACTTCTATGGAGAAACCATTTTGTCAAGAACTACTCAAAGCCTTGAGTGTGTCTCATTACATGCTACATTTAAGGGGTATATACACTCAGTAAGGCACTACTGCCATACAAGTCTTGGCTCTCAAATCCAGAGCCTTAAAATGAGGGAATCTACCCATTGATTTCTTAAACCAAGCTAGACACACATTACATAAGTAAGCCAGGTCAGTCTTAGACCATTTATACCAAAAATCTAATTTCTAGGTGTAGGATTTTTATTTACACAATACTTTAAATCTGAAGTGAAAATCCGTCCTTTTGAAACTGCTCAAGAAAGCTTCCCCTCTTGGTCAAAAACAATTTGAAGCAAAAGCTTAACCACCTCAACTACATCCCATTTTGTAAGCAGCTTTTAGAAGTCCTTCTACTTCATTGCTTATTGTTAGCTTTCAGACAAAGAAAACCTGAAACCAGACCAGGATCTCAAAGTTACCCTTTTAAATTCCTTCTTGGTCAAGGCCAAAGTGTTACCAAGACTTCTGTTGCTCTTCCATCCAGGCTTATTTATTCACACTACAAAACATGTAAATACTTTTCATGGTTTGGTATACCTTACACCAATGATATTAAAAAGTGACAGTCTTCAGTATTCAGAAGAAACACTGCATTCTAGATTTAATTAGAAGTTTTGGAGTACTACAGGTTTATGTGGTTATGCACAAGAACTGCTTGGAAGCAAACTTTAACTGAATATATTTTAAGAGCAAGAAAAGCAAAAAGCTGAAGAGGACACACAAACCAAGCCACTGACACTGCTGGGTCACCCAAGTCCACATGAGATATACCCAGTAGGTAACATCATGCAGGTTCCCAGTTAATGTACACCTGGAAAACTTGCAAGGAAGACAGACATATCCTAAGGATTATTCAGTAGGACAAAGCTGCTGTGCAAGTTTAACATGAGAAAGTTCCAAGGCTTAGCCAGAATACTGAGCAAGTATGTACAGACAGATGGCCAAAACCAGAGAGTAAGTAAAAGTTTCATGCCAACACAAGCATACATGCTGAAGTTAAAAACAGATGAAACTAATTACCATGTTTAAACGCAGGCTGCACCTGGTCTCTCTGCTCTGAGGATGGTCAGTCTAGTATCTATTCAACCTCCTTTAAAAGTTTTTACACACAGACACAAGCACCCAGAACTACATTACCACAACGCAGATTCTTTCTGTTAGTCATGCTTTATTAACCAGGAGTCTGGACAAGGTGCTATGCCCCATCATGCAGAAATCTATCCTGATGGTTCCTCAATTACAGGAATACTCCCCACATCTCTATTAAGCTGTAACTCCAATAGCAAGGCCACCCACAATTTAACCAGTGTGCTTATTTTTCCAGAAAAAGACTAATTCCTTGCCCAGTCTCTAAGGTGACACAAGTTCCTGAATAGGATGCAACACATTCACATCGCTAAACCTGGGCCCTCTCCTAATACTTACACAAGAGGATCCACTGTCCTGTACCTTTCTGTCTCTCTAATTTATACTTCTAGGACAGAAGGAACACTTAATGTAATAAAAGGCAAAAATAGCTGAGAACAAACTAGTTCTACTAGCATTGCCCACATAAGTATTATCATTCTAGGAGGGGTTAACAAGAACAGAGTGTTCGCAAGTGCCATGCAGTCCTTCCAAATATTTGGAGTCCTCAAACTGCTGTTACCCTTGGAAGAGAGCTGATGGGGCTCTGAAGACATGTCAGGCTCTGAAACAGGTTGTGGAGACGGAGAAGAACTAGGGCTGGAAGCAGCTGCTGATGCTGGAGGGCTTACCAGTTTCTCTAAAGAGATAGAGGGAAGAAGAGAAAGCAAAGATACATGGATAAGATACAAGGTAGTGAAACATCTGAAGGACTTGGAAAGAGATACAAGAGTCTCTAGAACAGCATTAGAGCAGATTATTTACAGTCCTCTCCAGGAACACAAGTTCTTTTTACATGTGATGTATATGTAAGGTTTGTTAGGTGAGAAATTAATTGGCCTTAACAGTTATGTATTCACATTACTTTTAGAAATAAATTGTAGCTATTTAGTTTGTTTCTTTCACATAGGGATGTGTGTGTTTGTAAGTGAAACAAGCTTCCTTGCAATAAGACCTTTCCACAAAGTTTTTAACTACTCAATCACTGCTTGTTGCAGCCTGACACTTGCCAAGGAATTAAGCTTTAGTTATTTGGTTTCACAGTGGCTGCATACAAAGACTGTACCTTTATTCTATCAAGTAAAGATTTTACTTACCTAAACCTAAGGAAGCTGCATACTGCTGGCTAAGTAAAGAGCTGGCAGCAAGCTGGCTGTAAGGTGGCATACCTCTAAACGGGCTGTAAGGCACATGTGGCTGAAAGGATGATGTAGAGGCAGAGCCCAGTGAAGACTGTAACAAGACAAAGTACATTTCCATTTACAGTGTCCAGAAGTCAGTTTGTTTGGCAGTGATTCTCTACTTCATGTACAGCATTACTAAAGCTTCAGTAAATACTAAGAAGGGTTAGTTTACCTCCGATTTTCCTGCATTGTTAGGTAGGCAATCTAGCTTTGGCTTTTGTCAAGCGAAGACTTTAATGCTTCTATTTTAAACATTACAACAAAATTCAGGATGTTTGAATCTAAGATTCCTGGAAACATTTACTCGTCTTCATTTTTATAAGTCTATAACACAATCAAGTCCTTCATCACCAACGCTTTCTACCATCACTTCAGGCTAACTTACTTGAACAATGGCAGGATCTTGTGGCAGAGTATGTTGAGCTTTTGGAGGTTCACAGACAGTGATGTCTTTGATGTCACTTCCTCGAAAAATAATGTATTCATAGATTTCTTCTCTGGGAGGAGCAGGTCTGTCTGTGGGCCGGTCTTCAGTCCCAAAGGATCGCACTTGAGGATTAGAAAGATGACCATTAGTCCAGGATTACCAGTGCAGCATCATGTAAATTAAGATTTATGGCACTGAAGAATTCCCTTGTAATATTTGCCAAAAATAACAACAAAAAAAGGTTGCCTCCAGAACCCTGGATCTCCTTACCACACACATCTGTTCCCTCAAATGCCAACTCTTTCAGCAGCCTGTATAAACAGTTTTGTTTACACCAAGCTGTGAAGGTAAAGACCATCAACCAGCTGGAGTGAAGAATTCTACTCCAAATCCAAGGACTCCCCCACAGTGCTACACTGCCATTTCCCCTTCCCTCCCCAGCCCATGTAAGAGTCCAGCTTGAGACAAATGACAGGAGAGGCCCCTGAAGCAGCAAGGAGAAACTCTTAGAAGGCTTTAGAGCTCAAATCTGCACCTTTGTTTTTATATATTTAGCATACAGATGAAGTTCACTCAATGACAAGAGCCTCCTATTAAATTATCTCTACTCCATGCCACTGGTTGTATGATTAATACCCACTGACTACAAAGCAAGCTTTTGGTGATAAATCCAAAACTTACTTCAGTGACTGCTGAGACTTCACTGAGTCCCAGCTATCTGAACACTTGAGCAGGTTCCAACCAGTGATGTTACACACTAGAGTAGAAAAAAAAAAGCTGCAACTGCTGTGTGACAGCTACCAGATAGAAGCATAAATGAATCTGAGCCATTGAAGAGGAAGAGGTCAGACTCAGATTTACTGGATTGTTGTTGCAGGAAAATAGGTAGCTTAGTTACATCAGACACTGACATACAAAAGCTTGACATTTCAGCCACAAGTTACAGAAGCTCATCAGGTTTACTAGTCTAGTTATCTTCTGTCTTTGTGAGGCTTTGTCAGTTTAGACAAGGACCAGCACATACTGGTTTGATGTATGCTTTCTGCCAGTACAAGAATTTTGTACTGGAATTGCATGAGTTGCTTCTAACAGGTTACCATAGACATACTCAACCTTTCTGCCAGGAGACACCACAATTCCTGCAGTACCTTTACAAGTTACATACTTAACAGACCTTTCACAAGGACCCACCACATCTCAATCCATGGTGATGTGCCAGCCAGCTGCACACTCCCACTGCAAAGCTGAAAAGATCTAAGCACAGACAACCCTGTCCATGGATGATAGAGGGGCAAGGGGAAGACACCATAGCAACTCCAGAAAAAAGCAGAAACCCCTCCCCCCCAAAAAAAAAACCCAAAATAAACAAAACACAACAAACAAGTCAGTGCTGCAAGCAGTCTGCACCTCTGCTCAACAGGGCTGTAAAGCTCAAATGGAGCAGCAAGCTCTGGGTGCAGGTCAATGCCAAACTTTGTCCCCATGATGCTGAGGCTGTTTAGCACCTCACCTTACACCTGACTGGAAGGAATCTGAACTGCTGCAAGGACGAGCTGTCCATCACTTCCCTTGAATGACCATCTTCCATTAGTGCCTAGGGTACATAACCTCTTCAAGTTATTTTGGATCTCCAGCTGCTGCTTGATCATATTACAGCTGTAACCGAGTCAACTAGAAACAGATGATAAACTGAAGGCACCACTTGTGGCCTTTTAGACATTAACTGTACCACTGATATCCCTGCTCAAGATTAGGTTATTACAGCACACAGCTAGATATACTAAAGCTATCCAGGGACTACAGCAGAATCCCATGGCTAACCTGGGAAGCAGCACATCTTCTCTGAGCACTGGGGTCAGCCTGTCAGCTTCCACATGGAGAAACACAACCTGCAAAGCCTGAAGCTCTTCAGGCAGCCTCTCAGTTGGAAGATCCCAAGGTTTCTAATGAAAAAGGTGGAAAACTATGACCTTGTTGTAGGCCAAAGAGCAGTGAGGGCATTTGAGAGGGCTCTAGGAGTTGCATGACTGACCCAGCAGTTGAAGTGCTTAACAGTTTCTGGCACAAAGCACAGCTGTTAAGTTTCTGTGGATGTCCAAAAGGCTGTTACACATGAAGAGTTACAGCAACTATTGTTTACAGATGAGCAGGAAATCAATCCCAACCCATGCTTAGCCAGGGTTTTACCATACAGTTTGCACCTATATGTGGGGTTCTTTTGGGTTTGATCTCTGAAGGGTCAGGAAGCATAACAAGTGTGACTGGATGTCCAGAAAGCAGAGCTGATGTGGGTACTTCTTGCTCAAAAACTCTTGTTTCTTCAGACTTCTTCTGCAGAAGAGGGAGTAAGTTTCTGGTGTTTGTTGCCAATAGGAGACTAATGTGTTTAAACTTTCTTGGTTTACAACTGAAGTTTAGCATATAACAAGACAGATGATTTTTTTCAGTGCTTAATTAAGCACATGGAATCTCCTTATCATGTTTAAGATATTGGGTATGTGTTGAAACTTAACAGGAACCAAATCGAAATCAACTGAAGTGAGTCCTGCTTCAAGTAAGAGGCTGAAGCAGATTCCTTCCCAAGGTCTCTTTCACCCTACATTTTTCTTTATATCACTCAGATTATAGAAGAGAACAGCACCTGCATTACATCCTGAAGTTGTCTGAGCCTTAAACAGTGGCATCTTGGGCTTAATAATACTGTATTAATTAGCTTGACAACTTCAACTGCATGTCAGTAACTCAAGGTTCTTCTAACCCTTCAGAGATCAAGAGTGTTAATCTGCTGTTCCCCATAAGAACAGGGTTGACGTTGCTGTCACCAACTTCATCATTTTTGCTATGTTCCTAATTCTGACACTGATTTTGACATGAAGGCTCTAAATTTAAAAAACCCTCTGAGCTAAGACAAAAAGCAGGGTTTGTACTGTAAAGTCTATAGACCAACACTCTAAGTGGGGAAAAAGAACCCCTGTATTCTCTCTATATAGTAACAACTACTTCTTAGACATTCCAGTTGATCAAAACTGAAGACTAAGAGACCAATAAATACATGAACTGCCAAGAATCTTCCACAGAGCATGTACTTTCTCACACCATAAAGCACTTCAATCACTTATGCCTTTGAAACACACCACTTAAGCTCTGAAGTAGCAAGTGCCATGTGGAAGCCAGAACTGCATGAGAAGCCATTTCTTCTTACAGCTGGGTAAAGGTGAAGACCTGCCTGCACATACAGTAAAGGAACTGCATCCTTCTTGCAACCTCCCTTACTTTGAGTGAAACGCTAACATAAATAGTTCCATTTGTACATTTCAAAAAGCAGCAACATTCCTAGAAAAAAGTGAATTTGTGAAAACTCACATTTTTTACCTCAGAACACACACTAGTAGGTGTCAAATACTCGTGTCCAGCATCACAGAAACATAATTATACTGAATAAATACTATGGTGGAGCCTGCGTTGGGGATACTTGACAATCAGGCAAGTCAGTGTCTCCTGCCAGCACATAATCTTTCAAAACAAAAGATGTTTGGTTTGTGGACAATCCAGATGGGTTGCTAAAGGCAATGAAGAAGGTGTGAACTTCCCAGAATAGGGAAGGACAAAACTCAGGGAAAGAAAAAGCTGATGCACATTAGCTGGAGTAGCCAAGCTGGACATTACCAGCAGCACAGAAACAATACCTTGTTTGATAGGCTAAACAATACTGGCCAGGTTTTTCTGAGAGTAAATACAGGAGCTTCCAGCACATGTGATGAATTAATCCAAATGGCACCATTTCAATAGAAGATAAAGATCACCATTTCTAGGTGGAATCAAGATGCAAAGCCTTGATGAGCAGCCTGCAAGGTGGGAAGAACCAGACCCAGCAGATATCCCACAGCACCCTGTACCTGAGCTCTCACCCTCTTCACCTGAGCAGAGTGCAGTTATTTGATCAAGAAAGGAACAAAGACACACCAACAGCAACGCTGTTTCCCCCAGCGCTGGCCTAGGGCCCTGCTCAAGCCACGCACCGAGATACTCCCAGGTACCCACACACAGACAGGAGAGGGGAACCAAACCCCGAACTGCGGTGCAGACCATCCCCTTTCTGGCTCTGACAATACAACGAGGGGCCGGCACTGCTGCCAGCAATTCCTCCTCTTCAGGGGACTGCTAACTTCCCGTGAATCCAGCCCGAGGGCTCCTCAGCATCCTGCCCGCCTCAGCAGCTCCCGGAGCCCCCCGGGGAGGCACCGCCAGCCCCG